CTGCTGAACTGGGCCAGGACTACAGCCTAGATCTGTCTGTCGTAACTATCATACATCCCTAGGAAAGGTACAAAGCCCTCTGCATCGAACCGTTTCCTCACCTGCGAAACCCGGGCAATGCATCCTTACCTGGAGAAGATTTGTGAGGATGAAGTCAGACCACACACGAAAGCCCAGGTGGTACTGAGAGATGTGTTTACCTTTCAGCTGGGGCACAATATCCTCCTTTCCTGCATAGGGGTCGCAGCGAAAGCGGTCCAGGCGGTCGATGGTGCACTGGCCCACGACAGGCTTCCTCCCAAACTGCCTGTGGTCGATGACTTTGATCACCAGAGGCGGCATGTACAATTCCTCCTTGGGCAAGAACTGGGGGTTGCAAAGAGGGGTATCATTTCTCTTCACAAGACCTGAAAAGGGCTGTGTTGCCAATGAATCCCTCGAAGGGATCAACCCAGTGGACTCAAAAGAAATTTGGTACTTCTGTGCCAGGCAGTGGCTCAGTATTTAAGAGCATGTGCCCTCAGCCACACAGCCTAGGATCAAATCCTGGCTCTGCCACCGTGAACTGCATGACTTTGGGGGATTTTTGATATGCCAGTTATCTCATCAGTCACAGTAGGGTAGCGATTTCATTCATGTGAAGTGCTCAGAACAGTACCTGGGCCGTGTGTCAGTTCACAGGGTGTGGAACCAGGGTTCTTTAGCCCTGACCTCATACTTCTCCCTGTCCTCCGCTTCCCAAAAGGGGATTTGCATGAGACAGAACTTTGGTAATCTAGGCCTGAGCAGAATTTAGAGGTGGTCAAGATCAACCTGAACCTCTGAGGGAAATAATTGCGGCTGGGAGACTTTCAGCCCTGGGAGCTCAGTGCCAAAAGAGGATGCTCACACAGGAGCAATAGACAGCCGAACAGATAGAAAGTTTACTGGGGAGTAAACAGTATCGCTCTCAGATATTTCTGTATCACTACAGTTTGATGCTTTAAGAAACCATCACTACAGTGTCAGAATCTAAGGAGGAAGGGCCAGCCCCTGGCCTGGTGGTTGGAGGTGACTGGATCCCACATGGCTGACTACGTGGTTCAAGACTAGGACCCAGCGGCTTGAGAAACACACCAGGCATGTGTGCATGTGTTCCCAAAATCCTGATAGGAGGGAGAAACAGAATAGAAGGGATTCCCCCAAGGGGATGCTTCTTTTCTCTCTCTCTCTGTCCCTTTCTCTGTCTCTTTCTCTCTGGTGGGTACACTTATACTCTGACAATTAAAAGAAAAAAGTTAGGAACCAGCAGTTAGCGTAATGGCTATGTCGCTGGACTCCCACGTAGTTGACCGCGGTTCGTGTCCCAGACCTGGTGGCTTAAAACTCACGCCAGGTGTGTGTGCGTGTGCGTGCCCAAGATCCCAAGAGGAGAATGGAGGAGAAGGGATTGCGGCGTGACCATTCCCCCTGGGGGGTGATTTCTCTCTTTCTGTCTCTATGTCTCTGTCTGTCTGTCTGTCAAGCGCACGCCCCCTATAGTGAAAACCTCTCTCAAAAAAAAAAAAAAAAAGAAAAAAGAAAAAAAAAGAAAAAAGTTAATAAAATAGCATAATATTTGCATATAACCTATGCACACCCTCTTGTATACTAGAAATCATCTCTAAATTACTTATAATACCTAATGCAATGTAAATGCTGTATAAATAGCTGCTATACTTTTATTGTTAAGGAAATAATGGCAGAAAGGAGTCTGAACATACTTAGGGCAGGCACGACCAGTTTTTTCAAATATTTTAAACCTGCTATTGGTTGAATCCACGGATGTGGAAACTGTGGATATGGAACACTGGCTGCGTAATCATATTTCAAATAAATTTCAGCGACTCAGCACACACGGGCTAAACAGAGTCTTGCTACTGTACCACTTTCATGAAGAGGACAGAACTTGGAAAGTTAGGTGTCTTCTTAAGGTTTTTGATCACCACTGATTCGACCCTTTCCCCTCCACACTCCACGATGAGGCTGGGGGAGGTGACAGCAGCCATCTGGTAGTTTTTCATATTTCTCAATCCCCAAGCGAGAATCTAGGAAAACAATGAAAAGAGAGGGGGAGGAAACCTGGTATGTGAAAAGTAATATTCAAGAGGAAAAATGTGTCTCTCTAACTTACAAAGTCTTTAAGATCCAAGCAGATTCATCTAAAAGTCCATGTGTATTTACCTTAGAAAGCATAAAACCACTTCTTTAAGGAAGTGAGTTTTGCCCCCGTTCTTCTTCTGCCTGAATTGCTTAAAAAAAAGAGCAGTTAAAAATGTAGGAATCGGGCCAGCCCCATGGCCTACTGGTTACGAGAGCAGGAGCCCACATGGCTGACTGTGGTTCTAATCCCAACCCTGATGTCTTGAGAAATAGGCCAGACATTCATAAGTGCCTGGCCCAATCCTGATGGGATGGAGAAAAGGAGGAGGGGTTGTGGCATGGCTACATCTCATCGGGGAGTGCTTTTGCCTTCTTCTCTCTCTCTTTCTCTCTATCTCTCTGTCTCTTACCTTCTCTGGAGAGCTCACACACTCTCTGGCAATTAAAAAAAAATGTAGGCATCGAATCCTAACCGTGCCATGTAACAACGAACACTGACCATTATTTAACCCCCTGCCTCATCTACAAACAGGACTAGTAGTATTATCTGTCTAGAATTATCCCAAAGAAGCATTCAAAAATGACAGCTGTTGTTGAAAGCCACTCGCCTCGGTCTTTGAGAACTCTCAGTAAGAGGACAAGGGAAATCTTGGGGTAAGAGTTGCCTGACTCAGACAAGGGGACGCCTCGAGTAAGCCAGACACTGTCCATCAAGCGCCTGCTGAGCGCCACCAGCTTGTATCTGCCTGACTGTCCAACACGTCACCATTGCCCGTCTCTCTCCTCCCACACTCCTGCTGCCTCCCTCTCAAGTCCCCCCTCTCTGCACACATGGACTCTCTCCTGTAGTCTGTCTCCCCTCTCCCAGTTCTCCAGTTGATCTGAAAAACTCAGAAATCTGCTGGTAAAGGAGGACTCCAGCTTCCCTCAGTCATGCTGGAATTGATCTCTCCTTGTCATGTCAACAACACTTCTAGTTCCACAAATATTTCAAGTGTTTGGACAAAGTCTATGGGTAGTAAAGACAGTAAGAAAACACACAGTGTGAGTCCACTTGACAAGAAGGACTCTAGTTCCATAGCTACATCCATCTGATCTGATCAACAAAAACTGAGAGAGCAGCATACCTCAATGGCAGTCAGCTGGACCACAGGCCTGATCCCCTGGGGGACCATGTACAGATTCGGTGCCCTCTGAGAGGGGAGAATGGGGAGGTTGGAACCATCCTGTGAAACAAATATGGAAATGTCAATAACTCCCTTTACTTCAAGCAACCAGTACCTACAATTACGTGTTTTGAGAAACTAAAAGAATATACAAGTGAGACATCAGCAAAGTACCTTGTCCCTCAGAATCAGCTCTGCGGTTACCAGGACATCCCCACAGGCCTTGTCCCCATTCATCACTGGGTACCAGAGAAGTTTGGGTGTGATGTCCATTTCTGAGTTTAGTTTCACCAGAGGAGGGCAAATGCTCCGTCCCAAAAACTCATCTTTGCCCTAGAGAAACAAGAGACCTTTAAACTCCGCCCAGAACATCCCCTTCAAATTTCCATCCTCCCCCAAGCCATCTTAGAAATTCTAAGTGAGCTACCACTTGGTCATTGTCAAAAAGTTCCATGATAACTTTGGGTGGGTTCTGTAGAACGGCTTGAGGTTCCCCGTAGATTTCAACTTCATCAAATATAATTGTTTGGTCCCAGGTGGGATTCAGGGTTGAGTGGATGATCTCAGTGGTTTTACTTCGATGGAGAAAGGAGACATGAGCATAGGGGTCTAAAACAGAAGAAGAGAAGAACAGTGGGGCCATGGTGAACATTGCACTCCCCAGGGTCCCCCACGGCAACCACGTGATCGTGGACCTTCACCACCCATCTTCATGACCCGTGAGGCGGGGACAGGGTGGATGGTGACAGGGTCTGGCACTGGAGCAGGGGCCCCTGAAGTGAAGCCAGGACATGTGCCCGTGGCTCTTGCCCTAGAGAACGTTCCCACCAAGGTTCATCGGGCACACAACCTTTCTTGGCAAAGGCATCACACTCACGAGCAAGAGAGGGGCTCCACAGTCAGACACACTAGGGATGAAGCCCCCAGCCCTCTCCTCAGTACCTGACCTTGGGGGAAAGTGTTTCATCTTCCTAACCCTTTCTTCCCTCCTCTGTGCAATGAAAGTGACATCTGCTCATAGCGCTGAGTGGATGAAATTTTGGTCTAAGTAAACTACTCATAATAGAGGGGATATTTGATCAATTCTAGTTGTTATCATTGTTTTCACTTCAATGGGCATCTGTTTATTCTGCAAATATTTGTGGAGGGCCAGGTCTCAAAAGCAAAGGTGTAAACAAGCAAGGTTGGATGGTCACAGAGTTTACGACCTGTGACAGCAGAAAACTTCATCTCACTGAACTTGGGAGAGAGGCTTATGTACTAAGACGTGATCCGTGTCCTCCTCCATGCTAAAAAGTTTCTGTAAACCTTTCTGGTAGCCGACTATCTGAGCAATAATTTATTTCGGATCTGAAACCGTTGCAGAAACCAAAAGGCACATGGTTTTTAGCGCTGCAGGAAATCATCATATGAATGGAACGCTTTGCTTTAGCCCTGATAATAATTTTTTTTTTTTTTTTTGGTGGGGTGGGAGGCTGGAACTACAAAGAAAGTGTTTAGTTCTATACAACTGTAGTCAAGAAGTTTGAAATAGTTCTTTGACTTTCAGTGATGGAGTGCCCCCTGGTGGATAATATTTGAAAATCTTTCAAGATCTTAATCTGGTCTAATTTAACAGAAAAAGAAACCATTCACAAATATGGGTTAATATTCAAAACTGACATGAGCATGCTGGAGTTTCAGGCAACTGTTTTAGGAGTTGTTTCCACAGAAGGCCCAGGAAAGCTCTGTCGGGCTTCAGGACCTGAAGTGGAATGCCCCCGAAACAGCCAGGATGGCCCCTAAACATGGTTCTACAAGCAAGAACACAAATCTCTAGGCCGGTGCCCCTCCTACCATGCCCTGCCAACAATCTTCCCCTTAGAACCCGCCCAAAGGCTGCAAACCCAGTCAGGGTGCTGTGGGAAGGATGATAAAACAAGGGTTCTACGGTGCTGGGAACTGGGGAAGCGGGAAGCAGAAATGGCCGAAACGGACTCCACACTGCTCAAAACCTGGCCCTGTAGACAAATGGGTGACCTCGAGCGTGTTCGTCACCTTGAGAGAGCTACAAAAAAACTGAACAGATGTTAACTTACCAATCAGCCCAAGGGCCTGTGTAAAAACAGAGCGCAGAAAGTGCTCCCCCTGGTGTTTTCCAGGATTTAACAATAATGATTCTCGCTCCTGGAGGACCATGTGCTCTCTCGAGCACCCATCACCGGCGCCCGAGGCACTCAGTAATTTATTTCTCTGAATGAGCAGTTTACTTCACTCATATCAAATTAATCTCGGTATGAAAAGTTTCTGTTGTTAGAAATGACAAAAAGCACCCACTTGGTGGAAAGCAGTCAAGATGGCTTGCTCTGGAATGGCACGCGGGATGGGGACTGCTCTCCTTTACCTGAGAAGCTATCCTTGTCTAACGCCATGAGGTTCCTGGCCTGATAGATGTAGCAGCGCAGATGGTAGACGTGGA